TGGCCCGCATACAGATTTCTCAAGAGACAGGTAAGGTGGTCTGGTACCCCCATCTCTTTAAATATTTGCCACAGTTTGAGGTCAGTCACAGGGCATGAAAAAAGAAGGCAGGGCTTTGATTGCATGGTGGGGCCACCATGTTGATTTTTTTGACCCCTCCTCCCTCAGAGACCCCTTCCCTCCAACTGTTCCTCTTAAGCTTTTCCTTCCTTGTTTGCTTTCTTCTAACCTCTCAGCCTGCTTCTTAGGGCAAGGTAGTTGCACTGCATGATCTCCAGCCTTAGATCTCTAAAGGAAAGTAGACTCACCTTGGGGAACACATGAGGACGCTACTAAGGGGGACGTGCAGAAAAAAATCATTGCACAGTCCTGAGACAGCCTTGGACAGGCTTTCAAGACTGATGCCAGCCCTTTGAGGTAGTCCAGATCAAGAACCAGGCGTGGCAGGGATTCTGGGAGTCCTCTTTATTGCTGTAGGGCAGAAGAACAGAATTGTCAGGGTCTCTCTTTGCCTCATTTTGCAGCAGTCAAAATCGAGGTGGGCTTATTTTGAGTCTCTCCTTCACGGTTGGGTCTTTTCCTTCCTTATCGACAAGATTAGCTCTAAATTCCTTGACAATTTACCATCAGGTACCAGCATTTTATAAGAAGCCACAGCGAAAGAGAAACCAGGTGTTGAGTTTGCTTAGGCATCCCAGCCAGTTAAAAGACTTTGAAAGTCTGGGTTATGGCCGTACAGGGAGTCCCCAGTTTAAGAACGAGTTCCATTCCCAAGGTCTGTCCTTAAGTCAAATTTGTATTGTAATGTATCAGGTAAGGTGCAGTTAATGTGTCTCTCTCTCTCTCTCTCTGTCTCTCATCTCTCTCCAAATATATCAGAGGAGAACACAATGTTGGAAAAACAGCTAGCTTGGCCATTTTTAATATGTGTGTGGGCTTGCATGCACATCTCTGCACATGTCTAGAAATCAGAGGGTGCCATCTAGTGGTGCCAAGGATCCTGTTTTGCTGACTTCCACTTCAATGGAATGGTTATGATAAATATTTCCTTGTTTAAATAAACAGTGTCTATGTTCACCCAGGCCTTTTATGTAGACCAGTGTTTCTCAACTTTGGCAACTTTAAGACGAGTGGACTTCAACTCCCAGAAT